AAGTATTTTTGAACAATTTTTTAAGAAAAAAATTTGCGAAATTAACAGATAACTGTCATTAACTAACTTTGACATGGGGTATTTTAGGTTTATAAATAATCAGAGTAATAGCCCTATGATGTTTTTTTCTAATAGTAATATTAAAAAAAAAATCCCATATGGATCCAGTGTGTGCTATACACTGTATAACTCAATACAACTTACTGAAAATCAAAGGGGTCATTTGCTTCATCCATATTCATTTCCTCCATAATATATTGTTCATCAAAATCATTATTATTGATGCATAGATTATGTAGTACACAACAAGCCATAATTGTACAAGGTATAAGTTGAACACTATTCATATCCAATTTTTTTAACCTTCTAAATCGGCCCTTGAGTAAGGTAAATGTACGTTCTATATGAGATCTAACTTTACTTAATTTTGTATTAAAGTGTGATTGCATATTAGTTAAACCTCCATGATTAATATAGGGACGAAGACACCAACTTTTTAATGGATATGCTTTATCAGCTAGTATATATTCTGAATTAGGAAAATACACATTTTCATTTCTTAAAATGTTATGCAGTAAGTCAGAGTTTCGGAAAATTCTGCGATCATTTACAGATCCAGGGTATCCAATAAAGCAATCTATAAATCTTATTTTATGGTCACACACGTCCTGAAGAGTTATCGCATGAAACTTTTTTCTGCAGATGTATATTTTTGCATTTCTTTTTGGAGTTTTTATAGGAATATAACATCCGTCAATAACTCCAATGCAGTGTGAAAATCCATTTCGGCCACATTTCCTTTTCATTTCTTCTTTCTCTTCAGCATTAATTTATTTATTTATTTATCCTAACAGGCCTATTGGCCTAATTACAAGGATAATTACTATTAAATAATTACAATATACGTGCCTACCACAATTTACATAATTTTGATACCAGAACACCATGAGATCAAATAACATTACTTGCTTAAATGGACATGTTTGTAATTTGTTTAATAATATTTTTTTTAAATGTATTATATTTCTCATACCAGTCTATATCTTCTAAATTATTTATACCATTGGCTAAGCGAAGAATGATCAAGAGGGGAGCTCTGGATGTAATCGTGGCAAAAGGAACAATAAACATATTTGAGTTACGCATGGGACGTGATGGAACACAAAATGGTATTAGGGCAAACCGATCTGAAAAACATATTTGATTATTGATTATTTTATACAAAAATAAGGTGCATGTGATTTTGCGTCTAGTCTCAAAAGAAGGTATTTTAAAATCTATTCTTAATTGTGATGTTCTAACAACATTGTAATCAGGTCTAATATGAAACTTTTTAAAGTAAAGATATCTTAAAAATTTATTTTGTATTTTCTATAATTCTTGTAAAATGATTTGGTATTCTCCAAGCCATATAATTGAAGCAAACTCTAATTTTGAACGGATTAACGTAATATATAAAATTATTAACAAATTAATATCAGAAAATGGCTGCGTTTGTCTCATTAAAAATCCCAGAGCACGATTTGCTGCTTTACAAGTATTCTCAATATGCGTAGAGAATGATAATTTAGAATTGAATGTTACCCCCAAATCTTTAACTTGAAAGCACTTTCTTAATGACACACTTTCCATTTGATAATTGGTTGCTTTTGCCGGGTAATAGTCATATAATAACATTTGCTGATGTTAAATTCCAATTTACATTTTTGACTCCATTCGTATATAGCATTTATATCTTTTTGCAAAGAAACGCAATCGCGTACTGTTTGAATTTGTTTATAAATTTTAAAATCATCAGCAAAAAGTAAGCATCTCGAGTATTTAATCACTTTTGGCAGATCATTGACAAATAACAGAAATAATAATGGGCCTAAATTGGAACCTTGCGGCACTCCGAAAACAGCACGGAATCTGCTAGAAGTATTACCATTATGTCTTACCAAAAAGTATCTATCTTTTAAGTAATCCCTGATAAGCATTAATACATTACTTGTCAATCCAAATTGACTGATCTTTTTTAACAAAATATCATGATCTACCCGATCAAAAGCCTTACTAAAATCTGTAAAAATTGTATCGAGCTGAAGTCTTTTTTCTAATGTATTATTCGCATAATTTGTAAAAATAAATAAATTAGAATTAATTGATCTACCAGCCACAAATCCATGCTGCTCCTCAGCAATGCTATTTATCACGAAAATATATAATTTGTTATAAATTATTTGCTCGAATAATTAAGAAGGAGCACACATAACAGAAACCGATCTATAATTTTCAATATTCTTTGTACTACCTAATTTATGTATTGGGGTACAAATAGCCGTTTTCCACAGATCAGGGAAAGTAGAAAATTTCAGAATAAGATTGAATATATGAAGCAATGGCAATTTTAAACCCTCATGCCATCTGTGCCTGAAGCCTTTATTGGTTTTAATTTTTTGACAGCTGCTAGATCATTTATTAAATTTAGTGTAAAACTATCATTTTTCCAAAGATTGGAGTTTTGTTCATTTAAAATATATGTAGACTGATTTGATGAATATGTAGTAGCAAAATATTCCGCAAAAAACTTAGCAGTTTGCTGTGGAAGAATTTCTTTATCATTAAAAATAAAATTGCCACTGTTCACACTCCCACTTCTTTTTTTATTAACATAACATAAAATTTGCCTTTTTAAAATTATATAGAAATTTTTTGTTTTCATCAATCTCACAGTTACGTGATACAGATCTTTGACCTGGATTAATAGACATTTCCGATGAAGGATGATATAGATCTTCTTTTGTAAGAGGAAATTCGGCTCTATAAATATTACAATTATTTTCATCCGAGCAAATTATTAAATCCAAAGTTTTTCCCTGAAAGTTAACAATATTATTAAATAATCTAAATGAATTAAAAATTAAAAAAACTCATTGAGAGCACGTAGTCTTTCATTTGACACATTAACTGATTACGATGCACCTTTTATTTCAGGCAAGTTAAAGTCACCCATTATATAAGTTTCATTTACACAATCTATATTGTCTTGCAAAAACCCAAAGCAAGATTCATATACTTGACAAGAACTTTTTGGAGGAATATAAACGCAAGCCAATGTCACGTTAACAGTACGATTTATTTTAATCTGCAATATTATTGCTTCAAACATTGAATTCATTTTAGCCACTTTCAGTATTTTCCAATTAAGTCATTTAATGATATCTGGCGCCATCCTATTCAATATCACAATTATTCGTTTGAAACAAACAAATAATGTAGCCTTAGATAGGCCAAATCTACTTCCCACAGATCTGTAGTAAACAAAAGATTATTACTCAAGGTACTGTACCAGTAATTGATATTCTCATTTAGAAGTGAATATTACCTATATATAATTTTCTTTACCCACCTATAAGAGTCTGGAGTAGCCAACAACCACAAAACAGCTAATAATTGTGTTTTTGGTTCTACTTTGGGTCTTCCTTCTAAATGGGCATTCCTTAAATGGACCCATGGTATGTAGAATGTTAGTAAATGTGGTCATCGACATTCTAAAATGATTTTTAAACTCTGCTGAATTTAATTCATTATTAATAATAAGATTTAAAAAACTATAGTTTTTTGCAGGTTTACGTCTAGGCAACATAGCTAAAATATAATCTTCATCTCCAGACGAATCCTCCCCACTATCACTTTCCTAAAAATTAGGTATTAAACAAAAAACTATAAATTTACAAAATATAAAGAATAAAAGTTTACCAACATTAAATAGATCTAAAATGTAATATGCGAACTTATATACTACCACTGCACTTTGCATTTTATCAATGGGCAAAAAACAATTTTAAATTTAAACTAAACAATACCAAACACCACAAAACAAACGCAAAGCACGAATTACCGGAATTACCACAAAAAATAGACATTTGACATAAGTGACGTAGAGTAATTTTTTAAACGATCATTAAAACTAGCATAAAACACAACTCCGAGCTTCTATATTGTCACTTAACATTACTCTGCCATTACTCTAGATTGTAATCCTGATTAAGTTCTTAAACGCACCCTTTGTGTACCAGTGGCAAATGTCAAATGTGAAAGAATTTTTTTGGATGTTAACAGAATTAAGACTAAAGACAGAAACAGATTTATTAATGGAAATGTGTCTTCTATTGTACACGCAAAAGAAGGTTTGAGAAAAATAAATGATTTTTGTGCTTTTTCCCCATATAAAGATATGTTGAAGTCAATGGAGAAGAAAACAATGTATACAAATATTAATAAAATTTTTTGTAGAAATTGGAAAACTAGAAACGTAGCTAATTTCTGTGAAAATGCAAATGTAAAGTTCTTTATTTATTTTTTATAGGTACTAATAACCTAGTTACAAGAGCTGTTTTTTATTTTTTTGTTTATTCCTATTTAAATAGGTATTTTTTATACTGATTATTTAGTTATCGAGTGTCGCCCTCTTACGTTTTTTACCTGAGTTATTATATAGAAATCTGTAACTATGATATTTACGCCTAAGTAGATTTGTGGTAGATATCTGAAGTTGAGTTGGTAGTTTTTGGTAGATTTCTTCCTAAAGTTGAGTTGGTTGTTTTGGTAGATTTCTACTCAGTCTCGTGGTAGATTCGTTCCAATAATTATGGTCACACGGCGCAGGAGTCGTGTCTCTCGTGTCACGTCATCTCACACGTGCTATACGTGTCCCAATTTGCACCATGCTCCTTAGAAAATATGAACGGACGAATTTTTATAAATACTGTGAATTTTGCGCACGATTTATTTTTCAATAGCGATAGTGAAGACGATCAGGTTACTGTATTAGAAAAAGTTGACCGTTCGCCAAATCTACAGTATTCTCAAAGAATGATAAGCAAATTAAATTACATTTTAGAATGATAATTTATTAAGGAAAATGCATAATGTTGCCAATATGAACAATATAATTATAAATGGACCTACTAGATCATCTCTGGAAAAAGAATTAATAGTTATGGTGTTCAGAAAATATGGAATGTTTTAGGTAAGTAAATTATTTATTGTTTAAAACTAATTTTAATTTCAAAGTAGAATTTTACAAGCCCAATTTTGAGGTTAGTGGCTGATCGTTTTGGAATTAGTAAGTCAACTTGTTGGGATATATTACGTAAGACATGCAGATTATTAGAAAAAGTAAATGATCACTATACAATTATTAGATGGTCAAATCAAGAAAGAGCTGCAGATACTTCTGATAATTTAATCATAAATGGGTTTGGATGTGAGTTTTTTAACTATAAATTATGTTTTAATAAAAATAATATTATACATTGCATCTTAAGGTTTTAGGTGTAATCGGATGCATTGATGGAACCCATATAAAAATTATTGCACCAAAATAAAATTCTAATTCCTATGTAAATAGAAAAGGTTTCCATTCTGTTTTACTACAAGGCATGCGTAATGACTTAATGTGTTTCACTACCCATTCAACATTCATACCAAACAAGAAATCGAACACAACTATTTATTACAACAAGCATGGCAAAAAAACCTTAGACCAACGAAACTTTCAATATCTTGAATTAAAAATATATAATACATTTTCTGATATATACAAAATATACATAAACACAATTAATTCTAATGCAATGATAAAATCCTTGCTAAAAACCCGGGGCGGAACGGACCATCGAAGCAGAATGAGATTCATGTTTATTTCTGACTGCCATGCGCCGCCGTCTACGATGATATGTATGAAGTACGATCACTAGTCGGTTGATAATAAGCGGTAGTGATGGTTGATCCTGATTTTTTCACGGATCAGTTTGGAGTTGATCCCATATATGTAAATACTTGATCGCAGGATCAGTTCCTTATACCAATCCCAATGCAATCAGCGAAGTCTGCAAATGTTACACAGCGTTACACACTCTTTAAATAAAACTAATGGGACATTAATTTTATGAATGCGTTTGTCGTATGCAATTTGCCACCCGGTCGGCTAAATTATGTTTTCTATAAGAATTATTTGGTCATAAGTTTTGAGTTGTTTTGTGGCTTCGATAAGTTCGATAGAATATTGATGTATGTTTAATGTGTTTAATGATGAATGTAGCTTATTTTATAGAAAATGGTGCATAATCATAATTGAGTTTGTTTAGATTAGCATTTATACAAGTAAAACAAATATTAAAAAAAAAAGATAATTACAGAATTGGGTTCTTTTAGGCTATTAAACACAATTATTAACAAACTTATCGACTTTTATTCGGAATTAAAACGGAACAAAACAGATCGAAAGGATACTTATATTCCGTGGTTGAAATCAGATGTGAGAGTAGACAACACAGGACAGGGTACACATGTGATGGTGGTTGCATGATCAATAGTGATGTGTTACTACAAAATTTAAAATCTAGGTAACATCCGTTGGCGCGTTTGTCGACATCTCGAGGGGTATGCTTTATTATGCTAATGGATGCACTATACGCTCCCATATGGCCTGCAGGACAAAATGCACAGTTTTGATCTAAAGATTTAATCAGCTCATTTCACTATCCATTTTCACATTAGACAAAAGAGTAGATGCCAGATGTGAGTCAGATCGAGAATTTCACGTTGATTTATGGACTGAAACGATGGACTGTACAGTTCAAATCTCACAAAAATCGTAGCGTGTAAGGCCTCCTTAAATATACTGTCAGTTGCTAATCCGAAGTGTTCTAGTACGTATGTCTCTGTGTTGCCAACCGGAGGGAAATTTCCCATTTTGCGGGAATTTTCAACACAAAAGGAAAAAACTTAACACAAAACGGGAATTTTTTTACTTCAGTACAAATTCTGAAAAATGTATGATTTTAAAAATCAATTAAATTACAGTTGTTAATTCTTTAATATATTTTTAAAGTGTTGTTAAAAGATTTGTGTTTTTAGATTATACTTTTTATAGTTTGTGCGTTCATTTTTCTTTTATTAAATATTTTTTGGAAAATGTGCACATGCTTGTATTTCTGGTATAAAACCGAATTTACGGGAGGGAATTTTTTCATAGAAGTGGAAATTTTTATGGTAAGAAGAGGGAAAAAGCTTATTTGAAGGTTGGCAACACTGGTTATTTTACTCTACGTGATTCCCCAAGTCCCCAAGTAATTTACTTGATTTTTTGATTCTGTTTCTGTGAAGTACATATAGTTTAGATATTGTTTATTGTAAATATTTTACATTTTTTATGTTGAAGTACCCAAGTATACAGCCGTGGATTGTTAAAATGTCCAAACGGAGTTCAATATGGCTTTAGTTTTCAGTTCGTGATGAGAACAAAAAAAGTGCGCAGTATGATGTGTGTAAAACGACAATAGGATACAAATACTCTGTTTCAAACTTGAAAAAACATTTTGTTAAAAAACATCCAAATATAAAAATTGTCCCGGACAAATGTAGCGATGAAAGTAGGACTGTTTTGAATTAGGACAATAAAAATAACAGCGATGAACAGCGGGTATCTGGATCTACATCATCAAGTGGAATTTTCCCGAACGAAGAAATTCAACCTGTGGCTGGGTTTTCTAAGCAGCAAGTATTTACACTTAAACAGGAAACTGTAACATCATACATTTCAAGAAAAATATCGACAACCACGAAACGCAAGATGGACAATGAACGTTTAGGGCTTTTTAAGTATGATTACCACCCCTTCAGTATAGTTGAAGACCGTGGATTTCGAAATGTGGTTCATATGTTAAATCCGTCATATAGTTTACCAAATAGACAAACAATTTCAAACACCCTAATTCCTTTGGAATATGAAAAATGTCTGGACAGTGCGAAAGCGGAAATACAAAATGTGGTCAACATTTATCTAACCACTGGCTGTTGGACTTCTGTAAAAAATGAGGGATATATGGCTAGAACCGGTGATTACATTGACAATAATTTTAAAATGCGTTCTATTCTATTAAGTTGTGAGTTACAAGAAGAAAATCACACTGCCATAAATTTAGCCTCCAGATTTAAGGATGTTTTAAAAAATTGGCAGTTGAGAAAAAAGGTATTTTGGTTGTGTCAGACAATGCAAGCAACATTAAAAGTGCGATAACTAAAGAATTAGGACTTAAATATTTCGGTTGTTTCGCCCGTACACTAAATTTGATAGTGCAGGATACTCTGGGGTTGGTAAAAGAGGTTTTGGACAAAGTGAAAAGTATTGTGGCACATTTGCGGAGGAGCACAGTTGCTAATACTAAATTAAAAAAATTTCAAAAGCAAGTTGGCATTGATCCCCCAAAAATGTTAACGCAGGATGTTACGACCAGATGTAATTCTACATTTCATATGATTCTAAGATTTGTAGAACTCGAAGATCCACTAAGATCGGTAATTGGTTTGTTAGATACTCGTTTACCGCATTTGGATACTAATGAATGGACTCTACTAAAAGAGCTTTGTAATATTTTAAAACATTTTGACGCTACAAAAAATGTAAGTGGACAAAATTATATCTCTGCCGCACTTGTGATTGTTTTACAACGTGGTCTTTTGAAAATTTGTGAGAAAATAAAGATTGGCAATATTTTAAACGCCACCAAAGCATGCCAAAGAAGGCAGCAAAGCACCTCGGGAATTTTGAAACATATGCCACATTTTTAGGCTATTTTAAGGCTATTTTTATATCCTATTCAAAAATTTTATGCTCCTCGTTTTTTGTAAAAATCAAGGTGCTCTGCTAGCTTCGAACGAAGTCAGCAGATCACCTCAGTTTTTTAAAACTTTTTTCAAAAACCAACGACACCATATTTTTGGGCTATTTTTAGGCTCTTAAAATACAAAACTTTTCGAAAAATATTGGTGTTTTTAAAAAATACAGGGTGCTTTGCTAGCTTCGAACGAATCCAGCAGAGCACCTCGGTTTTTTCTAAAAACAACTACACCACATTTTTAGGCTATTTTAAGGCTCTTGAAATATTATAAAACTTTACTAAAAAATTGCTATTTTTAAATAATAGAGGGTGCTTTATTGGAGCAAAGTCAGCAGAGTACCTCGGTTTATTATTATTTTTTTTAGAAAACTAGTTATGCTACGTTTTTAAGCTATTTTTAGGCTCTTAAAACAATATATAACTTTTCAAAAAAATGTATTTTTTAAAGAATACAAAGTGCTTTGCTGGCTTCGAACGAATCCAGCAGAGCACCTCGGTTTTTTAAAGCTTTTTTCTAAAAACAACTACACCACATTTTTAGACTATTTTTAGGCTCCTGAAATAATATAAATTATTAAAAAAAAAAAGGTTTTTTTCTATTTATTTTTTTTTGCAATCATGAACATATTTATGACATAAACAGTTACATAATGTTCAACTTTATGTAACTCAAAGTAGATAGATCATTTGGACACCCGCTACGATTACAAAAATGTCACTTTGTAAGTCAAATTAAAAGAAAGTTTGTATTAAATACTTATTAAGATTAGGATAGGCTCATTGCAAAAAACCCTTAATTAACAAACATTTTAATTTCTACGATTAATTATATCAATGCGGAAAAAATAATCGAATTCAATGATGAACAATATACAAAAATAAGTTGTTTTAGCTGGGATTGATTGATTCAAAATTGGTGTAAATACCAATTACAAGGTAGTGTCCGTGTTGAAAAGTCCATACCTATTGATTATATTAAAATTGCAAAGTAAATGCTCAAATTAAATCTAAATATCAGTCATATCATAATATCTACTCATACACAGAGTCTTCAATAATATTCATATCTCACGTGACTAAATTGACTAAAAGTAACATTAATAACTTCAGTAGTAACCCTAAAACAATGACCTATTTGACATAATTCTTTAAAAAATACATTTTTTTTGAAAAGTTATATATAAGAGCCTAAAAATAGCTTAAAATTGCAGCAAAATAGTTTTCTGAAAAAAATAATAAACCAAGGTGCTCTGCTGACTTTGCTCCAACAAAGCATCCTGTATTATTTAAAAATAGTAATTTTTTGGTAAAGTTTTATAATATTTTAAGAGCCTAAAAATAGCCTAAAAATGTGGTGTAGTTGTTTTTAGAAAAAAAGCTTTAAAAAACCAAGGTGCTCTGCTAGATTCCTTCGAAGCTAGCAAAGCACCCTGTATTTTTTAAAAATAACAAAATTTTTCAAAAAGTTTTATAATATTTTAAGAGCCTAAAAATAGCCTAAAAATATGGTGTCGTTGATTTTGGAAAAAAGCTTTAAAAAACTGAGGTGCTCTGCTGACTTCGTTCGAAGCTAGCAGAGCACCTTGATTTTTGAAAAAAACGAGGAGCATAAAATTTTTGAATAGGGTATAAAAATAGCCTTAAAATAGCCTAAAAATGTGGCACATGTTTCAACTCAAAATTCCCGAGGTGCTTTGCTGCCTTCTTTGGCATCACCAAAGCCGTTATACAGAAACTTGAGAGTGGTTTGCGAGATCGGGTAGGAAATGTTGAATACAGCAATACCTTAGCTCTTTCAACTTTCTAGATCCGCGTTTTAAAAGTTACCCATTTAAGCGCGACGACGCTGTGGACATTGTAAAAAAATTAGTCACCAATTTGATCACAGAAATCATAAACAAAAAAAAAATGACGACGAAAACCTTAAAAATTCAATTGAGCCCCAAAAAACTAGCACTGAAACCTCTTTGAGTGAACATGGTTCCAATAATTTAACACTCTGGGATTGCATTGATGAGAATGTGATAAAAAAGAAACCTAAATCTAGATCGGCATCAAGTCGCGCAATTATCGAGATGCAACGATATTTGGAGGAAGATATTTTAGATCGCAATTGTAATCCTCTCTATTGGTGGAAAAATAACCACTACAACTACCCTTACCTAATTGACATTGTTAAATGTTGTACCCTTGGTAGTTCGGTTCCCTGTGAGAGAATATTTTCAAAGGCTGAATATTTATTACAAGAGAGCAGAAACCGAATGTCTCATAAAAAATTGAGCCAACTTTTATTTTTAAATACTTATAAATTATAGTTTCTCGCATAACATAAATTATATTTGTACGTACTTTTTAATTTACAAGTATGCATATACACCTACCTAAGTAAGATATAGAAGATACCTCTATAACCTCTTGATCTCATTATAAATTGAAATGCGTAAGTTTTTTTGTTTTTATTTTTTTATATAATATCTATATGTTGCTTTCTGAGAGATACTTATATGTAATTCTAATTTACGTTTTGTTAGTTTTTTCTTCTGATCTCATTAGAAATTGAAATACATAAGTTTTTTTTGTTTTTTATTTTTGTATATAATATCTATATGTTGCTTTCTGAGAGATATACGTATTTCTAGTTTACGTTTTGTTCGTTTTTTCTTCTGATTATTAAACTTTATAAATCAATTTCCTAATTTCAATTTACTCAGAACCTTTATCACGATGCAATAAGTGATTTATCACAGTCAATTTAAAACAATGAAGAAAAACGTTTATAAAAATAACAAAATGTGTAAACGTACCTATTATTGCTTAACACGCCTAATTAGATTAATTATTATATTCCTAAAACATGAATATGTAAAATAATAATTTAACACTTAATTGGAACGCCAAACAAAAGTCTCAATCTCAACAGTATCTAATTTAAAAGTAATCTAACAGAAACAAAAATAATGTTTTTATCCAACCGATCCTAGCGGTACCTACACCTTACACCTACAGTCGGATCACTTAATTTGATATAATAGCGGTTTACGATTTACCACAAATCTTAGCTGAGCTAAGCTAGGCTGAGTTGATTAGTTGTTCGTTTTGTCAACCAAGATTAGAATATCTCAGTCAAATTACCTCCCCCCTTACCGCAAATAAAGTAACCGAATTTCTGTCTAACATCAGCTAAGATGAACTAATTTAAAGAACTTTATGTTCTATGTGAGTTTTTTCACGTTTCTACGTTTATGTATGCAGTTTTACTCGTTATAAAATATAAACAGATATAAATTTAAATATTTGTTGATTTACTATTAAAATGTTAATTTACTTAACAGATTTACAACATAACAACAAAGAATATACTTTGGATGTTAGTATTGAAGAAGCCAGGAGGGCTAAGGGTAAGGAGTAAGTCAAGAGTTTTTACCATTAAGTTTAACTTTATAAGCGATTTTTCTAAAGTTAATATATTTATATTTATTTCAGACGATTTAGAATTTGCAGAACAATTGTTGCAAGTTTGCAGAAATTCAGACACAGATTATATAAATGTTGAAAATGAATCTGAAGATGTCCCAGTTCAAAGTAATAAAACTTGGGAATATAATTTAACAGTATGCCTAATAAATGCAGTAGAAACTTATTATGAACAACTACAGCACCAAAATCCACATATGAAAAAGAAAGGCTGGGAGAACATTATGAATGAATTGGCAAGTCATAAAACAAATGTAACTATAGTTGCAATATTCCAGTAACTATAGTGGAAAGCATCCCTTCCGGATCAAAGAGTACGGATGACGAGATTCCAGAGGTCACAGGTAACAAATCAAAAGATATTGAAAATGTACATCCAGAAACCACAGGACCTACTAAGTTTAAAAAACGAAAGAGGGAAAATCCAACTGGACAATATTTAAAATTTAAAAAAGAATTTTATAATAAATTACAGGAAGATAGGGAAAAAGCAAGGGAGGAGAAGAGAATAAGGGAGGAAAAAACAAGAAAGGTTTGATAAAAAGGTTGAATTGGAAGAAAGGAAACAAGCTTTAGAAGAAAGAAAACTAGCGGCATTCGAAAAATATTTAGAAAAAAATAGATACACCTTTTTTTAAAGTATTGTAATAGTCTTTAAGTTAAATATATTTTTTTACAAAAATAGTTGCAATGCAAAAATAGATATTGGTTTATATTATTTATTTTTCATTATCTAAATTATTCAAACTTATTTATTACAGCTAATTTGGAAATAACATGTTTAACAGTTCATTTCGACGATTCTCTACTTGCTCATATTCAATTTGTGGTCCAGGTTCATGTATATCTTCAATTTCTGCCAGATCTATATCCAGGTCATCACTTATTATACATATATTATGTATTACACAAGCTGCACTTACACATCTTACAATAAATTCAATGTCTGTATTTTCAAAGCCATGTAGTAATCTTCTAAACCTGCCTTTTAAAAGTCCGAAGGAATGTTGAATAGAAATTCTAATCGAAGAAATTACTTTATTAAATCTTCTGTGTCTTAATTAAGGTTCCATTATCTTTAAACGGAGGAATAACCCAACTTAAAACTGGATAGGCTGTATCAGCAACTAAAAAGTAATTTTGCATATTTACTCTATTTTCTAAAATATCTCCATACAATTTCGATTTTCTAAAAACCCGACCATCATGTTGAGATCCTGCTTCCCCACAGAAAATGTTGGTAAACATTTTTTTGTGATTACAAATTGCTTGTAATACAATGCTATGGTAGCCTTTTCTGTTATAAAACACTTCTTGGTCATCTATTGGCCTTTTAATTCTTATATGACTGCCATCTATAGCTCCAATAACTCCATTAACACCACATTTTTCATTAAAATAATTTGATATTTCTATTGATTCATTATTATTGGGCCACTTAATGTATGTTGCACTAACATCCACAAAATGCTGTGTCATTTTTTGAATCATAAAGTGGGCTGTGCTTTTTGATACATCAAACCGTTCTGAAATTTGGCGAAATGTCTCAGTGTTTGAAATATACCAGAGTGTGATTAACAGTGACTTTTCAGGTGATACTTTTGTTGGTCCCGAAGGATGGGTTGGAAAAATATTAGCGGTCGTTAATTTTTCTAAAGCAAATTTATATGTAAATATTTTGAAATTTAAAAAGAAAGCATTATTACCTTTAATGAAATAAAATGTTGTCCTAGTCATACGAAAATGTTCTTTAAATTCAACATCTAAATAATTATTTATCACTTGGAGATAACTAGAAATTTTTTTTCGCTCTTAATTTTTCAATATCTGAATCGGTATCTATGTCATCTAAACTGGAAGTGGAAGAGGAAGAAGAAGATGAAAAAATTTCCGATATATTGTTCATCAGTTCCTAAAAAGTATATTTTTTTAAATATTTTTTCATTATTTTTGATGAAAACCTTTACATCGATTAAATACTTTTCCATTTTTATTTCTGCAACTGTTTAAAACAACTAAACAAATACTTTCTATTTTATTGTCTATTCTAAAAGAAACAATAAACAATTTACTAAACACAACGTACTGGACAAAACGACAACAAAAGATGAGTTGAGGTTCGAAGTTGACAATTGATAGTTTGACTGGGGTTTGATTTTTCGACCCTTTCGATTTACCATCTTAGCAATTCAGATGAGCCTAGCTCATCTCAGCTAAGATCTTTAGTAAATCGTAAACCACTATTTTATTTAATTCTGATACCACAAACATACAAATTCACACCACGGTGTGACCGCGGTCATCGCGATGCGATCAAGAATCAAGCGATAGGTAGTTTCTAGTTTCGATTCCAACAGTAGTCGAATCGTGCATCCGCATGTTTCCGTGCATTATTCTCATATATCAGGTATCAGTATAGTCAGTAAGTAGTGCCGCAACCGAATAACAAATACATCTGTGGTTGCGTCGATGCATACAAGTTTGTGAACTATTCGTTTTTCATGTTGGGATCAGGTACGTGATCCGAGTATCAGTTCTAGTATTCATTAGGTTTGTTCGTAGAAACTGTTTGCAACGGTTGGTGATTTATTGTCATTTTTATGCTCTGCGAACGCAATTTTGTATAGTTATGGATTCTTCTCTACCTATTCCCGTGAGTTAGATACAGATTTAGTAAACGAACAAAAAAAGAAGAAATTTGAAGTTTGACGTTGTATGTGTCACAGAATTGATTTGTTTACATTGACGTTTGTTTATGAATTTCACCTCATTTTATGAATTTTTACTTCTAATACCTGTTTTGAAGTTAAAGGCTGATATTTTATCAGAATAATGGATGGTAGGTCTTATATTATTGCATCATTTATTGAATTTTATGTATGTGTATTACTTACACTTATAAAAAACTAATTACTTTATTTCAGATTCTCCAGAATTTATTGTAATTCAAGGGCCCAGTACATTACCTGAATTAGAATTTTACTTGGACTAGAAACAGTTCTTTAATTCTGTTAGAACTGTACAAAATTAACAAAAAAGATGTGGGTACAATGAAAATTCGAAACTTTAAAAGGATGTGGAAAGTAATCTCTTTTAAAATGAAAACAAAATATAGTATTCATTGTACTCCATCACATTGTGAAAATATGTGGAGTGTTGGAGAGGAATTACAAGAACTATATTGATAATTTACATAAAACGGGCAGAGCGAGAAAAACCTTCGATTATATAAATGAGATGGGCCACAAAAAAAATGTTATCCCGGAATGTTTAGTGTCAACGGACACTATATCTGAAGAAAATATTAGTAACAACGAAGAAAACAAACAGCCTGTGAAGAGGGAAATGGTAAACCCAAAAAAACGTTCTTTCTCTAATAGGAAACAAATATTAAACAGGAGAAAAGAAATTACAGAAAAAATTCAAAAGGAAAAAAGTGACTTCAATAACAAAAAATTGGATTTTAAAAAAGAAAAGTTTCAAAAACTTCTTGAAATTGAAAATGACAAACTGAAAGAAAGAAAAGAACGGAACCAACTAATTGAGGAAAGTAATGATCTGTTAAGAGAAAATAACGGCCTATTGAGAGAGAGAAATGGTATATTATAGTATATATTAAGTAATAATGTTAATACAAACTTATTAGAAGATGACTTATAATCTAAAAGATTAATTTATATTTATTTTCTGTCTTCAGATGAATAGGGGTAAATGACAAACAATTTTGATAATTTTCTTTAAGATTTTACTACTTTTAGACCTACTTGTGTTTTGACATCATCTTTTTGTTGCAACTACTGTTTTTATGCATTTCTTAAAAAAAAAAATACTCGCATACTTGTTTTTTACACCGACCCTGTGATAATCTCTAAGCTTAGTCTTAAATAGATGAGTGATACGGACCATACCTGATGATGAGGATCTGATGTCCTCGAAACCGGTCGTATTAAATTACTCTTGTGAGATCTTAAGGACCACCCTTGTTTTATTTACCTCTTTTTTGTATTTGCTATTACTCTGGAGACCCGAAAATGTTCAAAAAATTCAACATTACTATATGTTTCAACAGCATTTCGAAAAAAAAATTTCATTGTGGTGTTTCGCTTGACGATTCATTACAGCGTATTCATTATCGTCACTATCGCTACTTGAATACGAAATATCACTTCCTAATAAAGTGTCAGAAGGGTCGCTGGAATCCATCACCTAAAATTTTAGAAAGCTTTTATTTCAAAATACCTAGAAATATATTTATTTGCAAATGTACCCACCTCAAATTTTCAGTTTACTATATACTAAGTATATAAAAAAATCCAAAATCAAATATAAATGTTTATTACAAAAAATTCAAACACAAACACTAAAAAACAACTAATCAAATCAACATAAGCAAATAAGGATGGACAAAAAATAATGATAAACACATAAACAGACATAAATTTCAAAACAAACAAATGTCAAATTGTAGGTTATTAAAAATATTTAATGTGCGCATGCCCCGGATTTAAAATGCGGAGAATAATCAGAAATTATTCCAACCGTTCCTAATCAGTTGGCAATCACTTCATTTGTCTCTACGAATGCCAAACTAATAATTGGAAACTATCAGTGATTCTTCTACGAACGCCAAATATTCAATGCGCTGTTCAGTTGTAAACGGTTGTGAATCGTATTACGAACAAAACTATTGTCGTTTACAAGAGAGAGGTCTGTGTTTATAGTTGTTCTTAGTTATAGATATAAAATCCATTATAAAGAAACAAAACCCGTTTATAAACGAAGAATACTTTAAAGTCACGTATATTAAGTCCTTTAAAACAAAAAAGTATAAAAATGTTTTTGCAGAATGTTCCCCTAAGCTGCTTCACTGGTTTATGGAATGGAAAAAAAATTATATGGGATGGGAAAGGTTCCCAGTATACGAAAATGTAAACATACTTAAGTGCTTTAAGTTTAACCACAAGTATAGTGACTGTCCCAATAAACCAGTTTGTTGTAATTGTACTGGAGAGTGTAACAACCAGGAAATCCTAAAGACCAACGCTCGTCACCAAATGTAACAACCGGCATGCCTACAGACCACTTGCAACTACTGATAGGTCTTTAGCTACTGTTGTCATTATACTATTAAGGGAATAAAGGCAGCACCTGTCACCAGCCTTAGGGTCCTGGAGTCCTGAAGGAACATCCATTCGCCAGTGGAAAAATAAAATAATAAAAAAAATAAAAATACAAAAAAAAAACATCCCTTAATAGCATATGTCGAGCGGTTTTGGCAACTGACTTAAGACTCTCAAGTCCTTAAGGGTAGGAACGCCGAGGCTTAACATGCTCGGAATATTTCTTACTGGTAAAAAAATTATTAACAATTGTAATAAATCAAAACAATCTCTATTTTTGAAATAAGACAAGCAAAAATTACTACCCACAATTGTAAATCTTTATTGTGATAAACCATGCTAATATAATATAATCTATGATAAAACTTTGATATAATGAAACCTTTTACATCACAAAAACTTTTTAATATAATAAAAA